ATATGCTAGAATTACCGGGATGGAAATTAATGCTTCCAACTTCCGTAATTGGCTTGACAAAGAACTTCAAGATGTTTTAGCCGTGCGACTTGGTAAAATGAGACTCTCGACGAGGGGAGAAATTAAGTCCGGTGTGGATACCGCCGGAACTAAATTAACATCTCATTTTGTACCTAATAAAACTACCATAAAGAAACCTACTTTTGGAAATCTTTTGGTAGCTGATAATGTTTCAGTTAAATGTCCAATTTGTCTGAAAATTGGTCATTTAGCTGATACTTGTAGAACCTTTCTTAGAGAAGCTGTTAAGTCAAGGATACGTCTTGTTCGTGACAAGAAACTTTGTTATCGTTGTCTTAAAGTTGGCCATATAGCTTCGGGTTGTCCCGATCCTAAGAAATGCTCATGTGGTAAAGACCATCATTTCAGGTTGCATCGCGATGTGGAAGGGAAAGTCCTAAACGTGCAAGCGTTTATTACCACTGAAATAGAAGTATTTGAAACTGACGGAGAAGGTTCTGCTTCAGAATCTGAAGATTCCGAAGAAAATGCTAGTCAAGTTGAGGAAACTCAACAAGACTGACTAGCAATTTTTTTATCAAATGCTAACTGGTGTTTTAATCGCTTTTCCAAAATTAACAAAACGTCTCTACACTTTATAGTGGTAGAAATTGAAAATATTTCAACTGGACAGAGACGTTTTATTAATGCTATGATGGACTCTGGCGCAGATAAAAACTCTCTTGACGTGAGTTGTGCGCGAGACCTGATGCTGGAAGGGATTAAAATACCGTTTGCCATTAATGGTGTTGGAGGAATGATTAAATCATATCAAGAAGGCTTGATATCCAACATCATGGTAAGAAATATTACCGATCCAAATTTTACCAGGGAAATTAAAGTTCAATGCTTTCCAAATCCCGCCGGTAAAATTACCCCACCATCTTGGTCAAGTCTTAAACCTAACTTTAAGCACCTGATGGATATTGAAGCCCCGGAGTTTCTTGATGAACCCGTGTCTTTAATAATCGGTAATGAGGATCCAAGTTTGCAAGTAAGTCTCGAGGAAAGAGAAGGTTCGATAAACGAACCTTTTGCGAGACAATACAGACTTGGATGGTGTGTCTTTGGTCCAATCGGTCCAGGAAACCAGCAGCAAATCACTGCACTTTCCTCCGTCAAGGACAACTACTTCGTCGATCTTGACGAAGCTGATTGGACTAACGACAACATCAAATCCGGTCTTGTTCGAATGTGGGATATCGAGAG